CTCTACCGGCCATTGTTAAAGTAAGACTTATCACTGGTATTCCAGGTGTTGCATGTAGCCGTCAGTCTCTACGACTGTTATATGAACGTCATGCTGCACATGACATGGAGTGTCTCATTAAACCCTCTTCAACCGCAATATTCTACTCCGGTATTTCTGGGGACATTTGTTTTCTTGATTCATTTTCTTGGAATTTTTAGGTGTTCATACTCCGCTGTGGAAACATTTATCTCTTCACTAAATTCATCGTAGCAGTCGTATACATCCATATATACGAATGTCGGTTTTTCTCTCTCGAGCTCTTTATCCAGGAAGACATTCTCTCATATTTCTCTTCCTGGCCTCTCTATTATTCATACCTTATTGTACTCATTACATATACTTCCCCAGTACTGAATATCAGTTGTAAATTGTAGTTCAGACACATACAGGCACTTTTTTATTATCCATTTTATATTTTTAAAATACATGAAGGATATCATGATCCAATACATGCATAACTCAAAGACCATTAAAGTTTCATTTGCCAGTTGCTGTTGATAACATAAACTGAGATTTACCAGTCAACATTTAATCTACTGAAAGTCAGACATCATCAGGGAATGAGGGCTCTGATCAGCTTTAACCACCTGTCACCACGCCTGTGCGATGTATCAGTCAGGTGTCGCCTCCTCAAAATTTTACCCACATTATTAATGAGACTAGTGAGCAGTGTACATTGTAGGATGTGATCGCCAAGTGCACGATAAAGGGCCAATACGAGACGTTGCATTTTTAAGGTTAAAATAACTTCTGGACAGTCTTATTTGTTAATTTTGAGGTCATAAGATTTGCAAATAGCAGAAACTAGGGTTTTCCCTTTTATTTGGATTTGGTCATTCTTCTTTCTTTCTTTTCTTTCTATTTCAAGGTGATATTTTACCGCATGGGGCATGTTTTGCATGCCCTCCCCTCTGGTGCATTTTAGTGGTTGTTTTTGCAGTAAATAACACATAATAAAAAACCCCACCCCACACGTCCTGGCGAATGGAAGATAAAGATAGGGTAACACAATAATATCATTTCTTGTGAGTTTTACGCACATGTAGCTGGATACCTAAAAGCTTCAAGCCCTCATTTTGGATCACCATAACAGCAGGCTGGATTCCATTACTTAAATGAATTGCACACCAGTGTTAACATATTGTTACCATCCTGAGATTTGTGAATGGTTTATGTTTTGTGTGTGAACTGTGTTGGTGAGCAGTTCCTCTCTTATCAACCTTATGTTACAGAAACCTCTTCTTGTAATTAAGTTCTATGTTATTTTAAGAGAAGCACGTGACTGAATTAGTACACGCTGCCAGGTTAACCCAATAGTTTGGGCCTCTAAACAGATCCTACATATTGTCAGTGTAATATTTAATGTAGATGGAATCTATTTGGTGAAATATCTATTTCAAAAATACTTTTTATTGGAGAATATATTCTAGGTTAACCAATATTGCTGTCATTTTGAATACCAATTGTACACTTATTTCATAGTGGCACATTTCAATACATGTACTTGAGTACGTGCCAACCATTGTTGCTAGTTTGCCATTATAGAAATAATATTTAGCATACCAGATGTTTGTTTGTCATAAGGTCATAGTCATAAGAGCTAAATAAATGCTGCTGTACTGAGAAAAAGTTCCCATATACGACAGCGGGTGAGATCCATACATAGAGCCCTGGTCAGAACGTATTTTTGACACAGACAATACACTTGAATTTTCTGTGGTATATAAGCATTTGTTTAGATATTATCTTACCAGTATTGCAGGTTCTAGATAACTGATGAGGAAACTAAAGACAAAAAGAAATAAGGATTTGGATCACTCTATTGTATTGCTATTGAATTTGATGGCATTTGACAGTTCTGGTCAGTTGGTTGAAAAAGAGTTTTCTTAAAGAAAACAAATTAAATATTATTTAGCATAATCAAAATATGTCCCATAGCTTTATATCCAGAGTAGTTGTGGGAACAATTCTCTTCAGTGTTCAAGAGCCTGGCTACCGGTATTAGATAGGTTGTTAATACTGCAAATCAACTAATATGAGATAACAATAATAACTTATGGGACAGTTACTGTTGCATATTGGATTTAAAATTCAGTTGTATTCAGATACATATATCATAGGTTGATTTTCTTTACTACATGGGGAACCATACAGGTAGGTACACGGTGTGTTCCATTAATATTATTTAAGACGTTGAGAATAATGAAAGGATTTTATACAATTAATAATTATATCTGTATGAAAGTATTCAATTGGAGAAAAGTACGCTAAGAATAATGAATGGGTTTTATATAATTAGTATGTATATCTATATGAAGATATCCACTTGGAGAAATGTACACTAAGAATAATGAATGGATTTTATACAATTAGTATGTATATCTATATGAAGATATCCACTTGGAGAAATGTACACTAAGAATAATGAATGGATTTAATTACAATTAATATGTTTATCTACATGAAATCATACTCTTGGGGAAATGTACGCTAAGAGTTATGAATGTATTTTATACAATTAATAAGTATATCTATATGAAAATATTCAATTGGAGAAATGTACGCTAAGAATAATGGATGGATTTTTATTACAATTAATATGTTTATCTATATGAAAACACTCTTGGAGAAATGTACGCTAGGAATAATGAATGGATTTTATACAATTAATATGCATATCTATATAAAAATATTCATTTGGAGAGATGCACGACATAAAAAATGACAGTCCGAGAGATGTAAAATAAACTTATCTTTTGTTTTATCCAATATGTGACAGCGTTGCTTTTTAAACAGCATCTCGTACACACATTTCTCTCCTCTTTGATCAGTAATTCGTATTTAACAAAGTAAGGGCACTTTTCAGGGAAAAAATATCGCCAGGTTGTTCTGGTGTATCAGTAGGCCTATTGTTTGCATCTTCGTACACATTATTTCTGCAATTTTCTTACAGTACAAAAAAAAGTGTGACACCGCGGATAAAAGCACCAAATGGCCATGTGGCATCAGGGGCGGATCCAGGATTAGATGGGGCCAGCGGATGCGAAGCCGACCCCCACCCCCACTTGGCGTGGGGTTTGGGGCTCAATGAAGGGTCCTGAAAATTTTGGGTATTTTAGAGGGCGAATGGTGCCATTTGGTACGGTTTAGAACTATGATTCAACTAGTCAAAATAATAATTTCAAAGGGAAACCAGAAATCGAAGGGGGGGCGTCAGGACCCCCTGACCCTCCCCCCCCCTAAATCCGCCACTGTGTGGCATGGCATGTACACACACTGGACAATAGAAATGTCACCCCTACTGATCGAATACTTTGGGGGAGATAAATAGCTGTGGAATGATATGTTCATGGTATCATTTTATTAAGATCAAATTTAACAAAAAAAGAAAAAAAAACACCAAAACACAAAATGTAGACCAGGCATTATAACTACTCAAGATCTGCCTACTTTAATTATTGATTACTTGATTATTATTTGATTACTCTGATTCAGGGGGTGACACTTCTATTGTCCATTGTTTGCAGTTACCTCTTGACATATTCAATCGAACTGGAGGCCTAACTCTCTGAAAAAATTCACCGTTTGGTCAAAAAATCCAAAACGGCCATCAATTGATGGAATTCTATAGATATATAATAAATTTATGGTGCAGTATGGTACTTCATTTTACAAAAAAAAAAAAAAAAAAAAAGATGAAAGATCAGTAGAAACACGACAAACCGTGGAATCTTGCTCAAGTTGTGTCAACTAACAGGACCTTGAAGGTCACATTGGCCGGTCCGTAGCTACCCCTACCTTCAATCACAAAGAGATTTATTTTACTGGTAATTCACTCATATTTTCTGTGCAATTTCGCACAGATACATCGCTCATAAAGAGGCGCGTTATGAACTCGTCTATCATGCCTTTTAAAATGCTTTATAATTACTGAACACTTTTACACGGAGGCGCGAGTAACTTACAAGATCACATAAGGCTGGATTTGTCCGAAATGTTCAAGATGGCTGCATTGTATAAAATATACCATTTGGGCAGAAAAGAAATCATCAAATAAGTAGATTTTTAAAAAATCATTCCCTTAAGTGTCCTTTTCAGAGTAGATGTCATGCAAAGTTAAAAGCGAATGAACTTAGATGCTCCGTTATATCTGTTAACTTTGTTTCACTATCCACTGTCATTTCCTAATTTAATCGGGGATGATAAAACGTAGGAAATTGAAATATCAAACTGGCCTACTGAAGTGATTACTATAATATGCACAAATTTCCTTAAAGTTTGGTTTCCTATTGCATGGACTAGCAATTAAGGCTGATCATTTTATGAGTGTTACTCGGCTCTTCACCGAGGAGACAGAAAAACAGCCACAACATTGTTCATTCTTTACTTTCAGTGGACGACATTATGTAGAAAATACAAAACTAAATAATATATAGAATTACATCTTTAAAAAGTGTTGAATGTTTATAATAAGTTGTCTGACAAGGAACCCAAATTATAAGCGTTGATATTATTCTTCTTCTTTGTTTATTTTAAGTTAAACTGAGGGGCCTTGAAACGTAGGCTATGCTGCTGATACAAGAAGTACTTGTAGTGGCTATTGTAGACACTGCCACTGTGTGGATTTTTTAAAGTGCATCAAGAACTGCTTTGTTGGTAAAAGCTGATTTTCCATGTTTCGCATGCATATAAGGCATCACGTCTTACGGTTAGATCAAGCTTTTCTTCTCGTTTCTACTCGGAATGCACTATAACAATTGGCTTTTTTTCGTTTTTTTTTTAAAGGGGAAAACATTACGGGGGTGATGATGAGATGTACGCTTCAATTTCACTGTGCCGTATGCCAAATAGATTATTCATTGGCCTTATCCTGTTACCGGCTGATTCAAGTGATCCAAATAGTGCCCGATTTCCGGAACAGTAGTAGTATATGTACATGGGTAAAACGCCATGACTACATTTTGCAGTTATGAGTGTTATGAGAATGTTGCTACTTGGGTGTCTTCTCGCCGCTGCTCTTGTCCCGATCCAGGGTAATTATTATTTTTTTCTTTTCGCGTAAGGAATAAGACAATAAGAAAATAATTTTGCGTAGACGTCACTGACATCATTTATAATATAAGAAACGATGTGGTTGACTATTTGTTCAGAGCATTCGGCACAGTTTGTGCGGGTGACCCCCTCCATGGTTGATTTTGATGTCAAATTTTTATTGCAGCCTCGGAATACAAGTGCGAGGAGGATGCTGGGAGTTGCCCGGAAAATAGGGGAATACAGTGTGGAGGTAAACACACACACACACTCACACACACACACACGCGCACACACACACACACACATTAACATACACATGCACACACACACGTGGCTCAGCCAATCCAGATCTATATACTAATGTAGGCCTATATACTGCTGAGTGCAGTGCGCAATATCACAATTTCCTGCAGGAGACTATATTTTCTGCAGAGATTGGATTGACTAGACAGTGATTCACTCTCTCTCTGCCTCTCTCTCTTTCTCTCTCTCTCTCTCTCTCTCACACACACACACACACACACACACACACACACACACTAGACTCAGTCTATCCAATTGAAGAGCACAAGGCCCAAGTGTTGATAAAGCCCCGTTACACCAGGTTTACGACATCTTAGGAATGAATATTTGCCCATTCTTTCCACCTTTCCACTTTGAGAGTCTAATCAATTCTGATGGCTTACAGATATTTTTCTTTTAAAAGACATACTATTGCATTGAATAAAGACACATGCTCGTTCTTTATTCATTTATTTATATATTGAATACATTTTTGCATTTAGATCAACATAATATCTAGGCATTGGCCTTGTTGCCATGAATTCCGTACCATGTTTCAGGATATGGCGAGTGTATTTGTGGCCATTGCGCATGTCAGCCAGGTTTCTATGGAGACAGTTGTCAATGCTCCTCAGTCACCTGTTCCTATAGCAACGGGGTAGGGCAGCCGTGGCAAGTAATATAAAGCCTCAGTAATGCTGAGATCCAGACCGCTAGCTTGTTCAAAACCCCTTTTCCATTAATATGTGTCTTGATTAAGATTTAGTTAATTAAATACTGAACTCCTGCTTACGTTTGTTGGACAGCATTTATTCAAAGATGTTTAATATGTGATCGCTTTAATTTGATGAACAACGAATTCGTATATTCTAATATAACTTTTTATAGAAAATTTGTGGTGGACCAGACCGAGGCCGATGTGAATGCGGGGTGTGTAAGTGTAAGCAAGGGTTCGCTGGTGAAGCATGCGAGTGCCCTCTATCACAAAACTCTTGTGTCGCCAGCAATGGGGTAAGATATAACAAAATGACTAAATATTTGACTCGCGTTATGGCCCACGATGCACTCATTTTATGCGACATTTGTATAACTGTTTTATATCTGGCTTTAATTCCTGTGGATTTATTTCATATTGAAGTATAATAGTACAAAACATCGATTATAATGGGGGAAATCACAATTATACAAATTTTTCACAAATGGTGTACTTTACTGACGTGCCGCAGATTTTCACATTTTGTGAAGTAGCCTGCCTAAGAGTGATTGAGAAAAAGTAAGTGTTCACTGACCACAAGTATTTAATTAAGCTATTTTAAAGCGTTCCGGATAAGGCTACGTGCAATACAAAAGGTGATGTTTCTTAAGCGTTGTAGAAAGCGCCAACAGTGGGTTGCGAACGTTAGTTTTTATCGAAAGTAAAGGTTATACACTCTACACCAATTCTTAACTAGTTTTATTGGTTCCCCGTTCAACAAAAAAAAACATTGTTTCAGTTTATTAATAACCCATGTATTCAAATAAACACTGATATTTTAACAGCAACGCAGAATAATCCAACCTGCCTTTTGTATTTTCCAAAGAGTGGCACGGATTAAACTTGAGAATGTGTCATCTATAACTTTAAGGTGGTCATGCTTTAGAATTCAATTTTCATAGTGTCCACAGCCTTGAGACTAGAAGGTTGAGTGCCGTTTTGAAAGAAATTGTGGTAATTACTTCATAAAAGCTTACGCAGGAGAAACCTTTTGTGATTTATTTCAGATTCAGGTTTTCTTAATTCAAAAGCCAATAATTACTTTAAAAACGTATATACTTCCCCGCTTATATTTATAAATTTATTCACCCTTGAAGAAAATATGCAATGGGAAAGGACAGTGTGAATGTGGAAAGTGTAGGTGTGAGCAGGATTCCTATTACTTTGGACCCACGTGCGAGGACTGCCCAGTAAGTAAAACTTATTTCGAAATAGTTTCGCAATTATTTTTAACTCTCGTATTAATCAGCGTGATTATCAAATAAGACTTAATGCATACTGATATTTGATGGTCAGAAATTGACATTTAAATACTTTTTGTAAAATATTTTGGAATTCGATTCTATGTTTTAGTTAATATTCGAGGTAATTTCCGGTCAATGAGTTGGTTGGTATCCTTGAAGGCTGGTTGGTAAGTTGGTTGGTTGGTTGGCAAGTTTGATCGTCTGCAGACTGACCAGCCGTCCTCCCGAATAACCGATTGATCGAATGATTGACTGACTAATTAACCGGCTAACAGGATGCTAGACTGACTTCCAACTCGACTAGCCGACTGATAGACTGATTATATGATGCCCCTATTTCACACAGACCACGAATCCCACGAATCGCCAGGAATTGAAAATTTCAGGATTCGTGGTTGAATCGTAATCAGTTCGTGAAGTTCTTAACAGATTCGTATATATTCGTTGTCAGTTCTTGCACTTCTTGACCAACAGGAATGGGTGGCAAAAACTTTGATGCCCCTATTTCACACAGACCACGAATCCCACGAATCGCCAGGCATTGAAAATTTCAGGATTCGTGGTTGAATCGTAATCAGTTCGTGAAGTTCTTAACAGATTCGTATATAATCGTAGTAAGTTCTTGCAATTCTTGATCAATCGGGAATGGGTGGCAAAAATTTTGAGCTGTTCATAGTTTTGACCACGAACTCCCGATTCCAAAAAATCGTAGTGAATTTCTGGACAATATTCGTGCGATTCCAGCCGAATCCCACGAATATTCGTAACACTATCGCACCTGTATCGTAACTGAATCGTAGAGCGTGTCGAATTAGACCAGAAAATTGGCAAAATCTCACGATTCCAGCCGAATCCCACGAATATTCGTAATACTATCGTACCTGTATCGTAAATGAATCGTGAGCGTGTCGAATTAGACCAGAAAATTGGCAAAATCTCACGAATCCTCACGAATCCTAAAATTTGTCAATTCCTGGCGATTCGTGGGATTCGTGGTCTGTGTGAAATAGGGGCCTGACCAACTAACCGACGATTGACACGACTAACTGACTGAATGTATTTAGTAAATCAAAACCACGGTTTATCTCTTCCCAGACTTGTCCAGGTAAATGCCAGGTGCTGAAGGCGTGTGTTCAGTTTATGCTGGGACTTGGAGGACCTTTGAATCAGGAGGAGTACGCACGGGACTGCCGCAAATATAATATCAGAGTAGTGGACAGCGTGGCAGGTGAGGGTAGATGGAAACCTGGCCCCAGGTTCACAAAAAAACTTAAGTCGAGGCCCTGGCATAGTTGACTAGAATTCCCATGAGAGTGCTGTTACACTGTTCCTGATAGGGTGAGATATGTGCATGTGAGTATGCAACGTTGGAAATTAAGTTCTTAGCCATGAATCTGACTTCAGATTTTTTGTGCAACCGTGGCCTGAGGGTGTTTCCAAATCTGGGCATAATGGGCATAATAATTGCAGGTTAGATATTTATCATTAATTTTCTTATTTAAAGAAATACATTTATTTATGTTGGTCAAACTGTTTTAATGGCAATAAGCACGTAATTAGCGACACCGTAAATTCAATGTATTTGTAGTCATACCACAGAGAGTGCAGCAGACCTGTCTCTTTGAGAAGGTGCATACACATTTGCTCGTATTTGTGTGTATAAAAACAAATTATTGATATTATAAAACTAATATGCATTCACGGTATGTTGTGTTTATGGGTATGGATGATGTTGTTCTGATGCAATTTTTTCTCTTTTTTCACGTTAGTAATTCTTGATGTGTTTTGTATGTGCTGTAGCCCTAATTGCATTAATCATAACCTAGTATTTGTTGCACTACACTAGTGACAATTAACTCAACATTTTTCAACTTATATTCTTTGGTTTAATTTATTGATAACAACCTTTCAGGCCGACCACGTGGCTTTATGTGTCGTTTTCGGACTGACGACGACTGCACCATGCGCTTCAAATACAAGTTCAATAGAAATAACCAGATACGTGTGTTCGTCGAAAGAACACAAGGTTTGTACAGGTCTTTGATAATGTAAAAAAACTTTAAATTCAGTTTTTCAAAATATTTCATAGAAAATGTTTGAAAATTAAAGATTATTCGGAGATACAGTGTACGTGTACTAATATTTGCCGCTGGAACTTAATATGACTATGTTCATTTTTAAAGCATTATAGAAAAAAGTTGAAAGTGCTAGGAAGTAATTAGTTTACAGCAGTTTGTGTATTATTTTCCAGTCTGCCCTGCACCTGGTCGATAGATGTCTCTTTCACGAGAGATGCCACATGCCACAAATTATGCAACACAAAATGACCGGACGTAATAAAGTAATTGACCATCACAATTTAATGAGTAATTATTATTTCCTCACATATACCTATGGGTTCTACATAAACAGCATATGAAGATGAAATTACTCAGTTTGTACCGGTATTTTCATCGCATTGACGACACAACAATTTTGTATATAAGGAACGTTAAAAAAACTGAATGATATGAATAAAACTTTGTTGATATGTACACTACTTATCCGAAACGTTTCCTTGTCTTTGTCCTTGATACTTACCCATGACACTATTTTTCTAACAAAATGAATTTACGTAAAAACCTAGATACGTACTTAGAAAATCAAATCGCCGTGGCAAACTGAAATGCAGTCTTAGACCCCATTTCCAGAGATTATATCGATCTACTTTAGATCGACCTAACTCCCTGGGGGTTCACGCTAAATAGCTGTCAGCCGAGCGGACACGAAAGATAATTACCCCCTTACAGCTTGTAGTAGGCGGGACGGACATTTAAGTCGGATTNCCACAGAGAGTGCAGCAGACCTGTCTTTTTGAGAAGGTGCATACACATTTGCTCGTATTTGTGTGTATAAAAACAAATTATTGATATAATAAATCTATTATATATTCACGGTATGTTGTGTTTATGGGTATGGATGATGTTCTGACGCAATTTATTCTCTTTTCTCACGTTAGTAATTCTTGATGTGTTTTGTATGTGCTGTAGCCCTAATTGCATTATTCATAATCTAGTATCTGTTGTACTACACTTGTGACAATTAACTCAACATTTGTCGGATATATTTGTTAATAATAACCTTTCAGGCCGACCGCGTGGCTTTATGTGTCGTTTTCGGACTGACGACGACTGCACCATGCTCTTCAAGTACAAGTTCAATAGAAATAACCAGATACGTGTGTTCGTCGAAAGAACACAAGGTTTGTACAGGTCTTTGATAATGTAAAAAAACTTTAAATTCAGTTTTTCAAAATATTTCATAGAAAATGTTTGAAAATTAAAGGTTATTCGGAGAAACGTGTACTAATATTTGCCGCTGGAACTTAATATGGCTATGTACATTTTTAAAGCATTATAGAAAAAAGTTGAAAGTGCTAGGAAGTAATTAGTTTACAGCAGTTTGTGTATTTTTTTCAGTCTGCCCTGCACCTGTTCGATAGATGTCTCTTTCACAAGAGATGCCACATGCCACAAATTATGCAACACAAAATGACCGGACGTAATAAAGTTATTGGCCATCACAATTTAATGAGTAATTATTATTTCCTCACATATACCTATGGGTTCTAGATAAACAGCATATGCAGATGAAATTACTCGGTTTGTACCGGTATTTTCATCGCATTGACGACACTACAATTTTGTATATAAGGAACGTTAAAAAACTGAATGATAAGAATAAAACTTTGTTGGTATGTACACTACTTATCCGAAACGTTTCCTTGTCTTTGTCCTTGATACTTACCCATGATACTATTTTTCTAACAAAATGAATTGACGTAAAAACCTATATACGTACTTAGAAAATCAAATCGCCGTGGCAAACTGAAATGCAGTCTTAGACCCCATTTCCAGAGATTAGATCGATCTACTTTAGATCGACCTAACTCCCTGGGGGTTCACGCTAAATAACTGTCAGCCGAGCGGACACGAAAGATAATTACCCCCTTACAGCTTGTAGTAGGCGGGACGGACATTTAAGCCGGATTATCTGACAGTAATCTAGTGAGACTCCCCGCGGGGATAGATCGATCTAAAAGCTCTGGGAATACAGCCTTACATTCCTTATGAAGTAGCCCGTCTAAGGAGGTGTTTACCTAAGTTGAGGTTAATTTCTTGTCAAGACAAAGCGCTAATGTATAAAATCTTGAGTGTTTAAGTTTTTATCAAGTATACAACCACATACATTTGATATAAAAATTTCTTGTACATGTAAGAGTATGGAGAGACAGTTGCTAAGAAATGCCTTAAAGGTGTCCGCCTCTAACTGTTACCAACAATTAAGTCTCAACCTCATCCTGGCTTTGCAAAGAAAATGTTTCTGTTTGCGCTGTAGCTCTCGCTACAGATATTTTCAGTATTTGAGGAGCATGATATTAATTGAGTTAGTATGGAAAACTCGCCGTCACTCACATGCTGCAGTGCTGCCGCATTTGTTGCTTCCTTGTCTCTTATATGAACCAAGATATGGACAGAGATTCCGAGCACTTACATTGCTCTACAGTTCTGCAGTTTCTGGTTTACCAGCCTTGTTCAGGGCTTGGTCTATCTCAGTGCCTTTATCAATGTTTAAATTGAAATTCAAATTTAACTGCAGTTACTGTGCGTATTTCCTAGAAACTGTCGTTGCAAATACTTGCCCTTGCAACATGTATCTTTCACTCAAGATATTTATACAAAACATTCTCAGCAAGTCCCTGAATTCCTCAAAAGTTCGTTCCGACATCTAACCCCGAGGAGGAAGAAACTTGGGACCTACGTATCGGATTTTTGTCAAAGTCTCCGCCTTCACTAGGACGTTAAATTCCATCGTTCCCTCGGTATTCTGAACTGCCTGTATGGTATCTGCCCCACAACTGTAATAACCGGTGTCCCTGTCCTCGATGTTTTTCAACTCCAACATGACAAACCTTCCATTGGACAGGGTCTCTCTATAGACCATGGCGGTTAACTCGTTCAAATTCGTCCAGCCAGAGCGGACTTTGTAGCGTTTGAAATAGACACCCTGGACGCTGCCGACACTCTGTGTGATTTCGACACCACATGATATGTTGATATTGCCGCCCAGGGCGCTGAGGTCGAAACTCTTTGGAGGAGGGACGAATTGTGGGAAAACCAAGATGGCGTCGGTGAGGTTGTTGAGATTGACGTTGGTGAGATTGAAACTTATCTTGTAGTTCCTCATTCCGGAGATTCCATATATTTCCTTTGAAAATGAATGAAAGTTGATATTTAGTATATTAAGACTTCCCGAAAGACAACCAACGTAGTTGAGATATTAAAAAAAACTATCACGCGTGGATATGACGTTGAGGCCAGTCGGGCTATGAAGTTTAAAGCTCATTTTTTTATGAGATAGAAATAGATATTGTACCAAATAGGCCGCTAACGATCAATTTTGAATTTCTGTTAAAGTACTTGTGGATCTGATAACCTTAAAAACTGTAACACATCTAAATTAATCTAAAATACTGAATTTAAAATTACTAAGCTAACCGCAAGCCTTTTCCCTTTAATCTTATACTGCTTTACTGGCAATAGGAAACCCGTTTTCCTGTGGCTTTCACTTTAAAAACGACAACCCCTGGTGAATACATGCAAGCTAGCTGACGCCAAATGGCAAGCAGGTCTGTTGTCATGCTGAAGTATTGGCTGTGAGGATCTCAGGGAGGCCCGTAGCCAGGGGGGTTCGGGGGATTCGAAAGAACCATTTTGCCGGAAAAGTTATCTTCTGGGTAAAATTTTTTCTAGGTACACGAAGGTTTCATGCTGAAAGGTCCACTTTTTTCAGAAAAAGAACCCCCTTTTGAAATTGCTGGCTACGAGCCTGCCTTATATTGTAGATACGAGATTAAAATTGAACATTTTAACACAAGTGATCAAGATTCCGCTTGAGGTCACATTGACCTCGGAGAGATCATTACCTTCCTGTGTGTGTGAAGACCACGCCCAAGCTCGTAAATGTAGACCACGTGGTTGACCGCTATACGGGATTCGTCCACGTTGTAAAATTGCAGTGTGACGTCTCCCTGTCCGGTCTTGTTAGTGAAACTGTGGGTCAAGTTCGCCTCATCCGCTGCAAGGGAGCCTGAAAGCAAACACCACAAAGGGGTGTTAACGCGTGCTGTGATCGTTTTATTTTCTTCAGATCTCAGATATTCAGATTTTTTTATTTATGCAATACAAATGGGGAATTACAGAGTAATTCGTGGTGAAATAAAACGAGCATTTACATTGGTTTGTATTGCGCGACTGTTGCATGCTTTGGCGTTTTACCGAATAAGCATGAAAGCATAGCATCGAAATTGTACAGCAGGATGGAGAGACAAAACAGTAATGGCAATGAAACCCGTTTGGTTCGAATGAAATTATAAAAGCGATGTATATAAACGCGCTGAAGAAATGAATAGAAAAACTGTCCTTCAATGTGAAGATAACGCACTCATGCTTCGATTTCATCAGTGGACTTTTGCCAGTACTTCCACTACTTGATTTTAAGTGATCTCTGGCCTACAACGCAGTTTAGGGAAATGATGGAGGTTTTGTGAGATGTGTATTAAAGGAACGATTAATTAGAAAGTTATCGACATTGAACCGTTTGCTGTTTCTTGCAATATAGCTGTGAGAGCGGGAAGTGTCACTTTTGACGGCCTGTCTGACATCAGACCGCACAGCTGCACCGAAACTGCCTATTTTTAATTTAGCTGTTTATTTCTTCAGCGACAGTTGTGTATTTGGCAAGCGCTCGCCGGGACGTAATTTATAAACAAATGTAGGTCACACTCTGCTTGAATAAAAGCATTTAGATAGTTTTAACCCACTGTGCTTAATATTGCATGTGTGTACGCATGTGTGTGTACGCGCGCTTGCATGTGTGTGTGTGTGTGCACCTAAGACTTTTGTCGCAACCTCTGATGTTTCAGACACAAAAATTAACTTGCTGACTATAGAAGCAAGATGTTTATAAACAAACGTCTGTGTTTAACGATAAACAACTTCCTTGCGCGCAACAGTGTAAGAAATTAATTTGTTGACAGGCTGAGCAATGTAAATTTGAAACCAAATATAAAACAGCTAGCGCGATCTACTCACTGAATTCTCTCTCTTGACCGGGGAGTCGGCTATCTGTGAGCAGCATTCCAGTCGGCAATGACCACAACACATTGGGTTTTTTCATCGCTGAGTATTCAATTCGGAAGGAAGTCCCTCCCTCACCCCGCCGTATTGTCATAGACCCGAGCAGCAGTGGTTCAGCCTTACCATTGGCATAAATAGTAGATATGATATCAATTTACTACTGAATTGGAGAATTTTTAGGCAATCAGTACTTCAATCAACGAAAATCTGCGCGAATAAATGGAGGCACGGCCTGTATTTTCAATTAATGCCTTAACGGGAGAAGCAAAACATGTCAGGCACATGAACTAGATGTACCGTGCTTGTCTTGTATGCAGGAGCACTATATATTCTACAATTGAGTAAAGGCTACAATATACATGCACATATTGGGTAAATACTCCATACACTAAGTAAGCGCAGGAGAATAACAATGAAAAGATCTTACCTGCGGAAACCATACGGTCCCAATGAGAAATAGTAAAGTGTACAGAGACTCCATTTTTGCCACTTGAAAAGCCTCACTCCTAGTGATTTTCTCCAGTGGGTCAGGGCAGCAAATTTAAAAGCCAACGCTTTCGTCGGTTAAATCTGTTTAACACAACCTTAGCGTCGGAAGGCGCTGAACCTCGCTGGCTTAGCGAAATTCTTCGGTGCGAAGCTGAGAAGGGTAAATCGAATATCTTGTTCGTTCTCACAAGTTCTTTGTATCAGCGGTAGTAAAGCATTTTGCAGGTCATAGTTTTCTGAAAAATTAATCTCAGATGTGAAAAAGTGTCTGAGTAGCTATTAAAAAATTGTGCGTGCATAAAAAGTGAAGAAAAAAATACCCATGATAATTTCAAATGTTGCAGGTGTTTCGTGCCTGCGTATCATAAAATGGCAATCACCGCTCGTACAGTAATTATGTGGTCAATCTATTTCTGTCGGGGAGCACACTTTCGCCCGCAACCAACGGGCTTTGAGTAAACCTTCCTACAACAGAACAGCGCTGGGAATGCGTTCGGCCAACCACTAATGAATTACAATTCACGGCAAGATCCTTGAGAGTCTTCCAGCGATTTTAAACAGCTGATGCTGGCGTGCTGGGCATAACGTTATTATGTTTCAGTCGATTAAGCAGCTCTCGAAATACGCAAGCACATATGACTTAATTACTCCGACAGGATTTGGCTTTGAACTTCCTAAGAGGATTGGCGTCCGTTTAGTTTAGCGTCATATGAGCGTCACAAGCAGTTTGCCGTCTGAAAATTTATTTTTAAGGAAACAGTGAGTGGAATATAATTTTCCGGTGGTGCAGGCCAACTCACCCTTTGCAGCTGAAACGCGTCTTATGGATGAAAGAAATGTTTTAAAATCTCTTTTCTTTTTCATGTTTTTATCACACGGGTGTCCTCTTAGTGATTAGAACAAATGAGTGAAGTACAAAAAATTCTCAATCGAGCACGCACTTGCAAATTATGAAACGGAAGATATAACAAAAGTTTATGCAAGTGCAAGGAAGAATGTATTTTAAATTGAGAACTTTGACCTAGTAGTAGGCCTAGTAGTACTCACATTCCTTTTTTTAAAGCGTTTATATGTATTTATTGATTTGAAGGGAAATTGACATGAATGGCCAGGTGTGATATATGATTGTGTCAGAGGAGACCCCATAACGCATTTCGGTTGAAAAGACGTTGCAACTGTAACGCTCTAACCACTTCACCCCGTTGAACAATATGCAGAAGGTCTCAAATTAAGTCAATGCACTTTATCATTAACTAACCTAACATTATTGATGAGTAGTTTATAATAATTTTGTTAATTAAATTTAAAGAACAACCAACTTAAAAATGATGATGGTGAAAGATGACAAAAATATTATGTGCCTCCCCGACGGGGAATTGAACCCCGGTCTCCCGCGTGACAGGCGGAGATACTCACCACTATACTATCGAGGATTGGCTGCATTCAAATACGCGTTAATCAAGATTATGACAGATGAGTTCTCACAGCAATCTCCAAATTTCTTTTTTTTTTTAATAACTCTTTTTGTTACTTTATTTATGGCCATGTCTCGCATCTGTTGTCTTTTCTTTACTTTTCTTTTTCTGTTTTATCCTTCTTATTATTCACGTTAAAAATACACAGATTTCAGTAGCTTTTTCTCAAATGCTTTAGCAAAACTACTGAGATTTATGACCCAATATTTCTCTGTTTCACATAACTTAGGACACTGCGGAACACATATCCTGATAGAGAGAGAATATAAAGATGCAAGAACAATACCATGTATGTATTCATTAGGTCCTATAATCGCTATACCGTAAAAGTTCATAAAGCCATTGTATACAGAAACTATGTTTAATCTCATTAAAAAAAGTCTTTCTAAAATTTTTAAAATTTACTTCGGTCTTCAGTAAAAAAACGGTTGTTTCTTACTGTTAAAGAGAGATATGGCATAGATAGATTAAAAAACGTTTGCTTTCTCTGAAACTTAGAAGTCTACTTTTGCTTGAAAAATATTTAGAAATAATGACCAAGCACATCTATGTTTGACTACTTTAGGCCATATATCTACGTACACTAGACACGGGTCTATTTATGGAAACACTTGAAAAAGGCATCATTAAGTAAATGCAATCAAAATTATGATTTTAAGCGATTAGGGTATCAACAACAGCTTTTTATCAGCGAAGGGCCTACAGGTACAGTCAGCAGCCTCTTTCCCAAGAGAAAGCCTTTAGCTGATCACAGGAATAAAATATGAGATAAAATTTCCGTTCCAGCCTTTCAGTGGTCTGAAAATGGCCACGAGCCTGGGAAGTTTGTTGAGGTCAAAAGACTTGTAGATCTTCAGGATATTTTCAGAGTTTAAAAAGTATTCCTATTTAACATCGAATTTTAGTTGTAACAAACATTGTCAAAGGGTAATTTTATTTAGACCCTCTCTTTGCCATAGGCTTAATCCAGGCTAGAAGGGCCCTTACCCCAAGCTTATTCTACTGAATGACTCCCCCCCCCCCCATCATCATCATCATCATCAAATTCCTGGCTATTATTTTCATAAGTTGAACTCCACAAAATTTCACAATTTGCACATTTTTTTTCTAAAATCACTTCGTCAGAAAGGGTAGTGGAGGCAGGTTATGTTATGTTGCATCTACTAGCAATTAAGTAAGTATTAAGAGTCACTTGACCTCAGTCAAATACCTGCATTTTACATGAGCAGTCATATTATAGCATTGGTCCCTGCGGCGTTGATGCGACCTACGTAGAATGTAGTTCCATTGGGAATGGACACTAAATCTCAGGATGCCATAATGATAAACTGTACAAGATAGGCAAGGTCGCGTTATCGGACTTGTTTTTGTGAATATTGCCCTCGTTAGTCAGATTAGTCATCACATACAGATGTGTTTGTGCAATGTGTAAAAGCGGCCTTGACTGACTCCTAATAGATTCATAAAACTTAATATTATCATGGAGTCTCGAGATGTTAGATTAGCGACCTGCTCACTTGACCTGGCATGCACGTATGTACGCCTGCAGTTCACAGTGAGTGCAGCGGGGGGGGGGGGGGGGGGGCAACCTTGCTTTTTTTTCCTT